CGCAGAGTACTCGGAGCTTCGTGAAAGAATTAAAAACAATCAAGAAGGGCTGCCCGATTTACGCATAGTCGAAAATAGAGTTTACAAAAGAGTGATGTTTCGAAGAGGTGTGGAAGAGAAAGAGGATTCGCTCTGGCGTTTGTGGTTACCGGAAGGGCTGACGGAGCTTGCAATAAAATGCTCACTTGATTCCAATGCTAGTTACCATGGAGGTTGGCAGAAGACTTTAGAGCGTGTTCGGCAGAAATATATCTTTGGCCGCAAATGGCAAAGGACATACGCCTTTATGTGAACCGATGCGAAACCTGCAAAGCCGTGAAAGCCACCAATCAAGTGTCCAGACCACGTAAGGGCAATGTCTTCGTATCCGAGAGGCCATTCCAGTGTCTTTATTGCGACTTCTTAGGACCATACCCAGGATCAAAGAGAAGAAACCAGTTTTTGTTCATAGTGCTAGACCACTTTTCCAAATACGTATTTTTTAAGGCGATGCAAAACGCGACGTTGGCAAATGTAATCAGCTTCTTTAGTACAGAAATTTTTTCAGCTTTCGGGGTCCTTCAATTCGTCCATAGTGATAACGGGAATCAATTCATTTCGAAGGAGATGCAACAGTTTTTTGAAAGCTACGAGGTTGTTCACATCAAGACGAGGTTATACTCACCGCAGGCTAACGCCTCTGAACGCTTGAACAGAGAGATTGTTTCGAAAGTTAGAATATTCCTGAAAGACAAGCAAGATCACATGGACTGGGACAAACATATTCCCGAAATTCTGTCGGTTTTAAGAAGCGATTACCATACGTCGATACAGAGCTCGCCTTACTACGCTTTATTTGGACAAAATATGTTACAACATGCGTCAGCCTATAGCATACTGGAGAAACTGGGTAGCCTAAGACAAGACGAAGTCCCGATTACAAACAGAGCTGACAAGTTAGCAAACATTCGCGAACACATACGAAAGAACTTGAGCTAGCGCAAGACAGAGCAGCTAACACGTACAACAAACGTACGCGGGTTGTGAATTACCGGGAAGGACAAGAAGTATTCCGGAAAAACTTCGCTCTTAGCAATTTTAAGCAAGGCATAAATGCTAAATTCTTGCCTAAATATATCAAGTGTCGTGTTCTGCGAAAGGTAGGCAATGCTTTGTACGATTTAGAGGACTTGAATGGCAAACCGATCGGTAGGTTCCATGCATCTGACATCCGGCCGTGACAATGTCATCCGTCACGAAGGGCGATCCGAAAGTAAAGTAGTTTTTTCCAAAATTTAATAATCACGTTTTTTCTCAAATTTATATATATACACGTTTTTGCAAATATTAAACTTAGCGATAGGGTAAAACCTTGACCGCCCGCAGACTGCCCGGGGTTCAACTTTGCATGGCTTTTCCTCGAAGCTGTCATGTAGGGCTGTAACTCGCTTCTGTAACTCTTCCCTACCGATCATTTCTCTGCTGGTAGGGAATATACGTCATTCGTTACAACTCCTTAGCAGTAGAGAACAAGGCGGCGAGTTCATATATGAATTCGCCCAGGTAGAGAATCGGAACAGAAACGAGCTACTGGACTAGAGGAGGGGCCGTACTGTGAAGACCGACTTAGCTCGGCAATTGGGGGGTGGCTAACTCTAGCCAACTAATGTGAATAGAGTATCTTTTTTTTCTCTTGCTGTCCTTTTCACTGGGCGTATCCTCCCCGAGCATCTATATTCATAGGACGTTCACGCGCGCTCCCGCCGGGAGTCGTGAACTGCCTGACAATCCGCACTCCCATTAGGATGGTCTTTTAGGAGTTTTGACGAGTTCTCCTTATCAAAATGTCTAATGCCTTTCGGAGTTTTGACGAGTTCTCCTTATCAAAATGTCTACTTCATTTCGGAGTTTTGACGAGTTCTCCTTTAAGAAAATGTCTCTTGGGCCGCAAAGCCATAATGAATAGGAAACAAAATAAATATATACACGTTTTTCCCAGCCGCCGGACGGCTATAAACTCGCAGCCAAGTGTCCTTTTCAGGACAGCCTGCCCTGTGTTCTTCTTAGCGGTGTTGAACTAGTGGGGGCAGGGTGTAAAGACCGACTAAGTTCGGCACTATGGGGGGTAGGCTTCTCTGGCCTAAAACAATAGAGAACCACCGCAACACCGGACTTGAATTTTTTTCCCAGAGTTTACTCGGTATAATTCTGACTCAAGCATTTCGAAAAGAACGCTAATTCGACCCATACTTAGTCACAACCGGGATTGAGTTCCGAGTCTAGTATGCTAAGCAAACTCTGACCTAACTATTAATTCTTCTACCAGAAGTACGAAAACCACCTTGACTCACCGAAACCCGGAATTCAACATTTTAAAACATTAAATTCATTGATTGCAAATACAAGAATGTTAGGAGCCGACTCAGTACTGACTAAATCCGTAGAAGTATTGTTCCAGAGACCGACTACACAATAACGAGTCCATCCAGCATTCCAAGCGAATACTGACGCGGAATACAGTAAATGCGTTGACTTCGGTATTTTCGTAACATCAAACTTAACTTTTAGGCTTCCAGTACTGAGTCTGGCGAATTCGAACTGCTACCAGACGTAACTACGGGGTTGTAATTCCTTGCCCTGCTAAATACTTTTTTTTTGAGACTCTATATCTCAGGGGTGAGTCGTGCCCCACATTCTTGTGATTTTACAACCTAAATCTCTTGCGAACGCCTTGCGAAGACAGTTAACCCTTTCCCTGTTCGCTTCTGTGACGAGTCGAGAAGTGAAGCAGGTTTGTTATGGGTTACTGTTCGCCGCACAAAATATAAATACTTAATTCTTCGGCGTATAACGCACCCGGTAGCGTGCCATAAGTTTCACCAGCTAATAATTTTTCTGAGCGTACGGCAACACCAAAACTGCATGGAAGGTCTGCCATTTTGCGACAGCTGTGTTCCTTTCGGACAGTGTTGCTGATTGCCACTGGTTCCTGCAGGTCTGTTTGCCTACTTTTTTTTGGTTAATAATCGCTTTTCCGCGGAGGCTGGTGATAGTTT